AGAAGTGCTTAGCCCAAACAATGTCTAGGAGGTAGCGTAGACCCTGCTGACTTGCGGAAACATCAGACTCCGCCGCATCGGCATTGGGAAATGCACGTTCGACCACCCTAGCCTAGCGCATTGAGGAGTGAAAAATGCAACAGGTCTGGATAACTCTCATGAGCGGAAATCGAAATTAACAGCTTTTTCGGCACTAGTCCTAAAACGATGGCGATATGATATTTTTACGGCTAGACGTATGGCTTTTCAAAGAAGATTATTTTTTTCTAAGCAAGACAGCAATAAAAATAAAAATCCAGCCATCAGAAACTTGTAAGTCTTCGTTTAAAAGTGCCTTAAACGCTTTTCAAGAGATGCAGCTTATTTTGCTAAGACTAAAGATAAGGATAACAATTTGTCTAATCGCTGTAAACGAAAAAAAAACTGTGGCATTTCCCACACACTTTAAAGTATGCATGCGGCGAAGTAGAACACACACGAGCACGTACATCGTCATCGGCGAAGACTGAGGAGCTGAGGAAAGGGCCTAGGAAGGTCAGCTGCTCAACAATTTTGCCATGGGCGCTGGCAAATGAGCTCAACGGAGGTTTCCAATTCGGCAGCATCACCATCTGAACGATAGATGCAATAAAATGAGGGTTTACAATGGGGCAGGCCTTGCCAGCACACACACACACACAAGGTAAACAGGAAATCGTCTTCTCATTTCAAGAGATGGAGGCAACAGGGCATTCTGAACGGTTTAAGTGTACAATGAAGCCAATTTCCGCCAAGTTGTGCAATTAACCGGTCTGCGGTCGCGCACGTAATGTTTCATTTGATTTTGAGAGGCAGTCTGTCCCAAAACTACTGATCAGAGCACACTAGTAGATCACTTAACATGACACTGATGAGCTAGTGGCTGAAAAGTAAAACGTCATATTTTGTTTAACGAAACAGATCCTAGAGCTGATTAACATGCATTTCAAATACATCCCATCCTTAGAGGCATTACTGGGTTCCGAAATGACCAACTGCCCTAATGCACTAAGGATAGCTGCTGGATGTATAAATTGTCGGCAAAATTCTCATATTCCGAGGTACTTAGATATCGCTAGCCCCATCATTGTGTCTTACGGGGGCGGTGTTAATAGGGCCTTTATGGCTGAGTCATACCACAGGAAATAAATAATAAAGTAAAAAGTTTAGCATTAAAACAGAAAATAATAGGAAACAATTATTTAAGCAATCAAAAAATTGCGCATGATAATAAAAATGACAAATACAACCAAAAGTGAAAAAGATCTGCACAAAGCACCTGCAAATAGATTACAAATCAATATGGAGTCTATATCGAACTTTAGAAATTAAAATAAAACCATAAAGATTCAACTAAAAACTAAACTTAAAATAATAAAACTAAAAGTACCCGCAGGATGCTAAAGATTTCCGAGTTTTGGGTGCAGTAATAAACATAACTACGCCTACTTAATTGCATATAGTAGGTATATAAGGACATCGGCATATGAGAATGTCACCAAATTGCCTATTCTGTAAAAAAATCTAAGTGGCAGAGGCAAGTGTAATTCCCTGATAGAACGTCAGTTAAATAGGGTGGATGACACGAAATTTCACAGCCCAATTTCACGACAGTGCGTGGCGAGTGGGTCAGAGCATTCGCCTACCGCAGAATCTGTGCCTAACGCGTTTGGCTGTTGGATGGTCAATTTATACTTCACAATTTGGATGTGCTGATAATAGGATTTGGCTATAACATTTTGGCCTGTAACAAAAAGAATGCTCAGAAATTCCCTTTAAAGAACACTGTGCAGCCACTGAGACCACTTTCCCTTTCAATGATGACCCCGGACAATGTTTCGATGGCTCACCAACGCTCAAGGACCAGCTTCCAGGCCAGTTCCGCTGTTGAAAGGGATCCGTTTTCTTAGTTGCAGGTTCCCTTCTAAGCCTGAAACTAAGCGATAAACATGCGCCTGCGCCGCAATTTCTGGCCGACAGTTATATTCTACAGCTTCCCCTCCCCGATGTAAACATTTTTATCATTCCCGTTACAAAAATACTTCGAAGAACAGTGCCAACAAAGAGTTCGAAGTCTTTTAGAAGAACTCGAAATATCGTTTGTAGGTTAAGCTCTATAATCGTCCGAAATTATTCCTCAAATTGGATTTGGACCATCTTCAGAGTTCATTCTAAAGATATACAATGTGATAGTAGGAGAATCACCAGTCTAGGTAAGGGACAAGAATGTCCCCTTGTACCCTAGAGCTCACTAGAGACTCCGCGTAGGCAGTCGCATAGCGGCTTATAGGATATTTTGAAGTGGAAACGACAAAGACAAGGGACACCGGAATGGATATTTCTAGCTTATTAATCGTCACCAACCAGTCATATTCAATCCCAGGTGTGGATAACGCGGGATTCTAACCCAGGACCTTTGGTAATTGAGTGTAACAATTCCTACGATTCGAAATTTCGGTAAAATGCGCTTAGGAAAAGAATGCATTTTTACAAGCGATATGCGATTTTCGTTTTCTAGGCAAACAAGGAATGGAACAGTGAAAACCGTACCCCCAAATTTTACTACTCTGCTCGTGGTAAATAGCAAGTGGCGGACAGGAGAACGTGAATGTAACGAAATTGTTCCCGGGCGTAGTTTGCAAAAAAACTAATAGTCTTTCTGAGATAGAAATAAATCACAAGACGAACACATAAAGCCAAGGGCGGGAGAACCTTCAATGTTATACTTAAGTATGGTGGTTAAATCCCTAAGTTGGCTCTGGCTAGTGGGCTCACACGCCAACGAGGGAATATAGACAACTAAGATTGCGTAGTCCTGATGAAAGTTATTTTTAGGGAAATGCAAAAGAAACATCGTGCAGTGATTGTAACAGATACAGAGGTGAAATAACGAAACTTTCGAAAGATATTAAGCGGAGTGTTTGGATTACTTGGAATTTTTAGTCACAGACAGACTAGAAAGACGACTTTGCAGCAAAGACGCAAAAATGTCTGCCTTATTGGAAAACGCAAGGCTTGGTGTAAGGTGTATCTACTCAACATGAATGATTTTCAAGACCGATGTAGAAATACAGGCAAAATAAATGCACGTACCAGTGAAGCGACGGGACGCTTACCATCAACCGTAACGAGTCCTGAAAGTTGACCGAGAGCAGCTAGGAAAGTAGTGTGGTTGTCATCTTCAATTGAAGAACTGCGCATCCTGAAATTTAAATCCTGAAGCAATTTCTTGAATATCTAAAAGAAGGAAGGAGGATAAATTTAAATGATATTTATTTTGATATTCTGAAGATTAACTTGCAATGACGAGGATAAATAATTCCAATACAGCAAAAGTAGAAGGGTAAGGCGGAAATGTAAGTAGGTATTGTGTGAAAAGTGAACTAGATGGGTGTTAGGAAGAAAGAAATATTCGGAAAATGAAGAGATAGAATTTTAAAACCCTAAATATAACTTACAGGAGTAACTACTTTTTCCTTTGAATTAGTTTCAACGGAAAGTGCTGAGGCAAGACTCTCAAGGGCTGAGAAGAAGTTGCCGGACTTCATTTTCGCAATGAAAGACGGAGGAGAATTAGACAAAACACCGGATGAGTCAGTGCCCAATGTCGTATTTCGTACTTCATCCAGTATAAGATGGAGTAAGGGGTTATCTGAAAGACTTTCCGTGGATTGAGCTTGACTAGGAGTGCCAGTGTCTTCCTGGAGACAGGCAGGAAGGGAAAAAACGCCCTGGCAAACCAGTGAGAGATGACTAACTAGAACATTGGAGATGCACTTGGAAAGTTCAAAAGAGACGTCTGAGCAGTCGCCATCCTGAAAGATGAAAAACATTAAAAGTTTAGATAAAACTTAAATTAAGTAAACTTTGGGAACTGAGTGAAAAAAATAAGCCGTAAATTGTAGTAAAACACCACTTGAATACACTTCAAAGGAGAAAATAACCACAGGTAAAACGGTTCAGCCAGTTTCGGAGGCAAAATGAATAGTCCCTGCAGTACCATAGGCAGTCTTTTTATTGGGACATCTAGGAGCAACGTGTTTATTGTAAATAGTTTTTAGTTATTAGTATTTACCAGAAATGGTTAAGGGTTGGAATTTTGAACATCATTAAAAATTACCAAAGCTCTAATCTTCTGAATTTATAGAAATCTGTATTCAGGAGACCTCTGCATTAAGTCCGTCAAATCTGGTGGACGTCGGCGATCGCCTTCCAGGAATGCTATGGAGAGCTAACAGGCTGCGATATAGTATTGAGATTGCGCCTGATTCTAACACCGTAAACGATTGAACTTACAACGTCCCATCGGTGAACTATAAAGGCTAAAGCTACTGCGGACAAAGATCTTGAAACAAAGTAGCCTGACCTAAATTCGTGAGATATTTTCGAACACACAGCAGTGGAGCAGAAAGGCTGGATGTAAAAGATCTTTTTTTCCAGAAACCGCCATTTTCTATAACATAGTAAGCCGACTTTAGTACAGGAATCTTGGGAGTGTGTTTACGTACCGAATAAAACGTGCGTTCAAAAACAGTTCCAGATAGATGGGTTAAGCCATACAACTATAAACTAAGTATCTACCATCGACAGACAGATATAAAAAAATACGAAACATAATATATTCATGAGAAAGAATTAAAAGTCAGTACGACTATAAAGAAATGTCGACTAACCTTGGCCTTAATTGAAGTGAGGCATTCAGGCCGTGCACCATGCAGACAGGATAGGAGGTAATATGTCAAAGTAAAATTTGAGGAGGAAAACTCGGGCCCAAATTTTTGAAGGAATTTGAGGTTGGATCTGATATTATGCAGGATCTTAATCAACAAGGCGGAA